TGCCTGCAACTCCATCAACGCCACCGTGGGCAGTCTTTCGGCTGCTAGACTCACTTACACCATCCAGAGAGGCGACACTTTTTATCGGGTTTCGAGTTTGAATTTCCAGAACCTCACCACTTACCAATCCGTCGAAGCTTTCAACCCCGACGCCGTCCCTACACAGCTCGACATCGGCGATCGGATCGTTTTTCCGATCTTCTGCAAGTGTCCCAACGAAACCCAGATCCGAAACGGTGTGAACTATCTTGTTACTTATGTGTTCCAGCCGTTTGATGATTTGTCAGCCGTTGCTTCGAGGTTTGGGGTTCGAAGACAGGATATAATTGATATCAATGGCGATAACATCCAGCTATCAGATACTATATTCATCCCTGTTAATCGTTTACCTGTTTTGTCTCAACCCGAGCCAGCCCCTGCTGGATCTCCTGGAAGAACTGAGAGGACAGGTGTCATTGTTGGACTGTCTGTCGGGTTGGGAACTTGTGGGATTCTGATGATTTTGTTCCTTTTCGTGTTGGTTTATAGAGAGGTTTTATCTAACAAGAGAGCGAAGGAGAGGGATGAAGAGAATCAGAGGTTGAAGATGAACAAGCCTGGGATGGGGATGAAGGGGACTGAAGCTAATTTAATGGCGGATGTATCGGATTGCTTGGATAAGTATAGAGTTTTCAAGGTTGATGAGCTTAAAGAAGCCACTGATTTCTTCAGTGACAGTTGCTTGATTCAGGGATCTGTTTATAAAGGTTCCATTGATGGAGATGCATATGCAATCAAGAAGATGAAGTGGAATGCATGTGAAGAGCTTAAGATCTTACAAAAGGTATCCTTTTTTTCCCTTTGATTTCTGGGAAAAATTTTCTGTTTGTTTCCTGTCATTATTCCAAGGACTAATGTGAAAAGATTTTAGTAAAATGGGAATAATTGGTAATAATTCTTTAGCAGATAAGGACATCAGTGGGAGGGATTTAATTAACAAATGATGATAGCAAATGGCTAATCTTTTATTACCAATAAAATAAAGATTAGGTTAAGTTGATTAGGCTAATTAATGGAATTAATTTGTTTTTACTATTCCCAATTGGCAAGTCTGAGGTGCTTGAATTTTGAAAAAATGAAAATGATTGATTAAGGAGACTAAGTCCCACTTATTTAGTTTTGGATAGTATTAAACAGCTAATTACATCAAATTTGCTCAATAATTGCAGTAAATAATCAATAAAAAATATATATTTTTTAATTAAGTAAAGAAGTATTATATTTCTGTAAATATCGTGATTCGATCCCACACAAGATTAGTTCATGCTGTTACCTTTAAAAACGATCCAAAAGTTCGAATATTCTTATTTTGCATTTTGGTACCGTTGTCCTGATCCTGTATCTGTCACTTGAAGGTAAACCATGGAAATCTAGTGAAGTTGGAGGGCTTCTGCATTGATCCTGAAGACACAAATTGCTATCTGGTCTACGAGTTCATCGAGAACGGCTCGCTTTTCTCTTGGCTTCACGAAAACGAGACCGAAAAACTGAACTGGAAAACGAGGTTAAGAATCGCAATCGATGTTGCCAACGGTCTGCAATACATCCATGAACATACAAGGCCTAGAGTGGTACATAAAGACATCAAAACCAGCAACATTCTCTTGGACTCCAACATGAGGGCCAAGATCGCCAACTTTGGGTTAGCGAAATCCGGCTGCAACGCCATAACGATGCATATCGTCGGCACCCAAGGTTACATCGCGCCGGAATATCTCGCCGATGGGGTGGTCTCGACGAGGATGGATGTTTTCTCCTTCGGGGTGGTTTTACTCGAGCTTGTATCGGGCAGGGAAGCCATCGACGACGACGGGAAGCTTTTATGGGCAAGTGTTGAAGGAATCTTGGATGGGAATGAGGAGAGGAAGGTGAGGAAGGTGAAGGAATTTATGGATGGAAGTTTACTGGAGCAGAGTTTATCAATGGAGGGCGTGATAAATGTTATGGCCGTCGCCGTTTCTTGTCTGAATAAAGATCCTACTAAACGGCCCAGCATGGTCGATATCGTCTATACATTGTCTAGGAGTGACGATCTTATTTTCGATGAATCCGAGGATAATCTATCGGCTCCTCCGGTTGTTGCGAGGTAAATTATCGCTCATAGTCGAATCAGGAATCTTGTATCCGAACTCTCGTCTTGAATTCGGAAATCATTAGTAACCAGTGTTAATACTTGTAGCATACTAGAGATATCTGTTCAGCTTGTATGAGAATTGTACCATGTATATATATATATATATTGCTGTCTGTATTAGAGGATCGTGAATAACTCCCAACATGTTATATATTTTAAATGTATGCAAGAATAAGAAATTATTTTATTCAACAATCGACTTTGAAATTCCAAAATCTTCCATTTTTTCCTTAATTTTTTTAGTTTAGAATATCCAAAAAGTAATTTCAACCACAAAAATCAACGGATTTTGTTCCGTATGGAATGCAACTTTTAATCTAAAAATACTGATGTCAACGTGAATGCATAACAAAGCTGAGAGAGAAACAAGGAGAGCAGCAATGAAGTGGACAAGTGGTGTTCAGATGCCTATGCCACAGTAAGTTTCTCCCAAATGAAAATGACTGCAAGTTTGCACTCTAAAACCGTTTCCTTTTACTCATTTTTTGTCTATTTCTTCAAACCAAATAAAAAAATTTGTTTTTTTCAACTTTTTTTTGTTTCTTCATCCTTCACTAATAGAAAAAAGAAGGAAAAATGGTGTTTCATCAGTTACAGAGCCCCCAGCCATGGTTGTTGCCCTCTAGAATTTCCAGGCTGACTCAGCCCTCTTCTTCTGCTTTATGCAGGTACATTTTCATGTCCAAGTCTTTTTCTTTTTAAAGCATTGGTGATCATATGATTTTAAAGCACTCATTTTTCTCCAAATTTTAAAGCATCTGTATTGATCATTCATTGTGGTATTGAACCAAGTTTAGTAAATTGCCAAATCATTGGCCTAATACGCATTATCATGGCTACAGTCAGAGATATAGTGATCAACTAGATTGACAAAAGTCACCGGTGAGCTGGGATTTGTATTATTAATCTTAATTAAGTGGCTGATTAGTTCTTGATCATGTCTTTTGTTCATTTTTTTCCATTTATAGATCAAAGAGGGCTGAAAATATTGGGATTTTTAGTTAATCTGAATGTATTAAGTTTCAATAGCAATGATCCTTGTTGAAGAATGATATTGATTGATTAAAGACAAGCTTGCCTTTCTTTTTCCTGTTTCTCCATTGTCTTTATGCTTCATCGATCACATAATCTTATATTTCCAAAGGAATGTTCGTGGTTTCAGATAGAGGATGTGCTATGAAGGATTGCCTTTATTTATAGTTTAATTAATGTATGTGAGCTATCGATCATTTGAAGTTCTTGAATTTTGTTGTAGAACACTAGGCATAATAAGAGGCTCAAACAATATGATACTTTCCCAGAAATCAACGTGCAGCTTTTGGTGGTACATTTCTTCATCTAACAACGCGAATAACTTCATATACAACGGAGGTGAGTCCTCGCTGTTTGCACTAATAGTTCGTCAAATCAATATCTATGTTGAGTTCCCATCAATGAGCAGTTAATCATTATCCATTTATGTCAACTATGGAACTGTAATTGCTTTCGAAAGCCACTCTTTCTCAAACTTCTGTCACATGAGTTTAAATAGGTGAATTTGGTTGTTACATTGAATGAGTCCGCATTACGTTACTCGTCGACGTTTGTGTTTTATAGGATTGTAGTTTCACTTAAAAATATGCTTTCTAGTTTATGTTTATGAGGATTGGCATGTTTATATGTTAGAACCTCTTCGTCCTACTTTTCCTTTTCCTTGATTTAAAAAAGAAATTCACATTTCGAAAGAACATTGATAGCTTTCCTTCTCCAGGAAAACGGAAGGTTACCATTCAAAGAGCAACATATAACTTGAAGTTTGTTTCAGATGCCGAACTCTTTCGGAAGGACCTGCATAATAGTTCCCCCGTGAGTCATAAATCATGAATTTCAAAAGAGCTAACATGGATGTTCTTTCTTGATGCTATAATTTGTTCTTTCGATTTCTTTATCCTTATAACGACTATGTATGCATCTGCTGGTGGATTAAGTGAAGCATTAATCGGGTCCAAGTTTCACTTTTGACAGCGGTCCCGTTATGGACTTGCCGCTCTGGACATGAACCTAATGGAAATTATAGCATATAGTGGAGTGAAATGACAAGAAGATTTGTTATTCCCTAATGTTCTTGATTGTCATCCTTGCAGGTGAAGGATCATCGTAATAAACTGATCACTGGAACTCTGTCATCATTTTTCTTACTGAGACTGATGCAACTAGATTTTGTCGACTCGTTAATAAAGATGGTCCATCAGTTATTTCAACATCTACATCGGATACCAGCAGCTACAAGTTTACCTTTTGCCTGCGTATCTAGTTCGTTGAATAAACCGACACCTCTAAACTTGGATGTGTCCTTGCCTATCATTCAGGATCTTCAATGGAACATATCACGGTTACTGTATTTGTTCAACATTCAACTCGAGAAAAATGTTGCCACGTAAGAGAAACTTTGCTTACCATCTATTTTCGCGGTGTTTTCTTTCGTTTGTAGTGACTAATTACCATGACTAATTACAATCATAAACACATTTCTTCTGCTATACAAGTTATCAGTTGTTTATATTGCCTTTTTAATATATAACTTCTATTCCCTCTTGAGTCTGCCTGGACTTGAAGTTGAGAATTTATGTTCACGGAATCGAACAATTCACTTGTTACAAAACATTTGTAGGATTCTCGTGGTTCTACTGGTAGTGTGCTGCTCGTTTATTGTCATTGGTGGTTTCCTCTTCTTCAAGTTTAGGTAATGTACATAATTGAAAAATCACTAATTCCTAGAGGACAAAGAGATATAATGCTACTTTCGTTCGCTAATCTGGAAGCTATGCCTTGAACGACACAGGGGAAATACACATTCTCTAGAGGACTGTGTCTGGGAGGCGTGGGCGTGCCTTTGTTCATCAGCTACTCATTTACAAGTGCGTGGTGTGTCATGAATCTAATCGTTTCGTTACTTTGAAATTTGATTGCATTCATATTGCTCACATGATTCCGAAAGCAATTTCGAAAACTTCCAGTCTGAAAAAGATATTCATGCATTGAACTGCAGCAAAGAACACGTGTTGAGCGTTTTATTGGCTTTGTTCTTGCTATATGGGGCATATTGTTTTATTCACGGTTGCTGAGCACGATGACAGAACAATTCAGAGTAAGTAGTTCTTACAAGAGCTCGATTTTACCTCTTCGTTTTTGCAATACCTCATTATTTACGTAAGCTACCATAGATGCCTTTGAAAATTCTTTTTTGGATGGCAGAGAAACATGCAAAAACTCAGGGAAGGAGCTCAGATGCGAGTTTTGGAGTCCGATCATATCATCATTTGTGGTTTAAACGGTCGTCTGTCTTTCATTCTAAAGCAACTAGATAGATCTCATGAATTCGCTGTGCGTTTAGGGACTGCTACAGCCAGGTAAACATTATGCCACCTCCATAGGTTTATTGTTTCCTTTTTTTCGTGCATAATTATCGGTTTCTTCGTCTTTATATTTTCATAGGAGGCAAAGAATTCTTCTTATGTCAGATCTCCCGAGAAAGCAAATGGACAAACTAGCTGACCAGGTTGCCAAGGATCTTAACCATATCGATGTCCTTACAAAGAGGTACAATAACAACGCCCCCTCCCCGAATATAAAAACTTCATAAAATGTATTTGATTCAAGTTATCCTTGTCGTTAAGTTTCCATTTCTTAAACATAGGTTTCTGCTTGTGCAGCTGTAGCCTTAGTTTGACAAAATCATTTCAAAGAGCGGCAGCCAATAAGGCACTTGCCATTATCATCTTGCCTACAAGAGGAGACCAGTAAGACCTCCATCAACTATTGTTTTAATTCTCGAGTGTTGTTCTGCAATAAACCATGTCGTGAAGTTTAGTTGAAGATTTTTGTAATGATGTTATGTTTATACACTTTGCTATGCTCATCTCTATCCACGGTTCTTTGCGAGTTCACGTTATTTATTGTGTACTACGGACAGTTTTCTTCGTGGGATGTTTAGTGACACCAGTTTGTTAACTGATTAGGTATGGAATCGATTCTGATGCATTTCTCTCTGTACTAGCACTTCAACCTATTCCCAAGATCGAATCTGTACCAACAATTGTTGAGGTATGTTCATATGCATAACCGTGGGAATAATAGTACTCTATGAGAAATGTTCGAGTTTAATTTTGGTCACCTTTTTTTTTCTTTTCTGATGCAGGTTTCTAATTCCACTACATGCGAGCTCTTAAAGTCGATTTCCGGAGTGAAAGTAGAGCCAGTAGAAAATGTTGCTTCTAAACTATTTGTTCAATGTTCTCGGCAAAAGGGGCTCATTAAGATTTATAGGCACTTGCTTAATTATAAAAGTAAACTATGAGAGCTTAAAGATTATGATCTGTTGCTTATAGCCTTTTTCTTTCTTTTCCAAAAGTTTTAAGTTATTGTGACATCTTGAAATTTTATCCCATCTTTTGATGAAACGAAACCCGGACCTGCACTTGGACTTCTCGACTCTTAGATATTTTGGGATGGTACTGAACCAGGGTACCGGTTAAAGTAGGATAGTTATCCTTCTTGGTCCAGTAAAGCCGCTTTCCAATTCTTTTCTTGTTTAATAGTACTATTTTAGCTCGATTCCGATTCTTGTCCATATCATTGTGCTCTACTTCTCCGAAACTAACTAGTATCGTGTTACTGCAGAGAATGTATTCACTCTTTGCCGTTTTCCTAGCCTAACAGGATTGACTTACAGAAAAATAAGACGGGGTTTTCAAGAGGTAACGCTTTTCGTTTACCTTTGTGTTTACTAGAGCTAAGAACTTCAGTGATGTTTTCTTATGTTGGTTTCGTTTCAGGCAGTTGTTTGTGGTATTTATAGGGGTGGTCACATATACTTTCATCCCAAGGATGATGAGATTCTGAAGGAAACTGACAAAGTATGTCAACAGAATTCTGAAAAAATCGAGTCCATGCATTCCTTGCTCGATCATATCCCTAGCTCCTGATGTATTTCTCTTTTATTTGCGTAGGTATTGCTAATTGCGCCTATTAGTAAGACATGGAAACAACAGCAGGCACTGGAGGAGGTTGGACATGAAGAAACCAAAAGACTCCGAGGCATGGAAGTTTTCAAAACCATCGTTGATACTCCTGATCATGATTTCGAATTGAGAAAAGAACAGTTTTTAAATATCGTAAAACGTCCCAAAAGATTGGGATCAAAGGTATGTTTTACAAAGAGATAATAAGCGCTATATAAGTGACAGCATCTATTGAAATTTCTTGATAATCCCACTTATATATGTTCTTTTGTCCCGAAAAAGTAGGCCTCGGACCAGACGCTTGGACCCACGGAGTGCATACTTATTCTTGGATGGCGCCCGGATGTTATTCATATGATCGAAGAGTATGATAATTATCTCGGCCCTGGAAGCGTGTTGGTATGCTTTTATTTTCTTCAGGGATTCTTATAGTCTTGATTTTCAACCGTAAGCATCGAATCGTATCATTTGTGCGTGATGTAAAACTGGATTACATTTGCTTCTGTTATCCACACTATACAGGAAGTATTATCGGATGTCCCGTTAGAAGAAAGGAAGAGGGCAATCTCTGCTTCGGGTCAAGCAAAACTAAAAAATGTCCAGGTTATACATAAGGTACTGTCCCATTTATTTGCTCGTGTCGGTACTTCTTTTACTTCGAATACTGTCTTTTTATCTGCACGCCTTGCAGCTTGGAAACTCCATGAACTATGACACGTTGGAGGAAACTATAATGAACGTACAAAATTCTGTCGTGAAACCGAAGTCTATTCCCTTTTCCATTGTTGTGATTTCCGATAGAGAATGGCTTCTCGGAGGTAATGATTATGAATAGATGATGTTTCTATCGGGTAAGTTTATCCTTCCACTAACCATTTACTTTTCAGATCCATCGAGGGCAGACAAGCAATCTGCATACTCTCTTCTTCTTGCCGAAAATATCTGCAACAAACTCGGAGTGACGGTAAGTTCGGTCCAACATAATCTTGATAACCTCATGGTCTTGAATTTTAATGTTTGAGTGCTATCCAAGAAAGTAGAAAAGTGCTAAGATTTAAGTAGCTCGAGAACGGTTGTTGATTGTTCTGCAGGTGCAAAATCTGGTTGCAGAGATAGTCGACTCGAAATTAGGCAAACAAGTAATTTCCCAGTGGTTTTGAACATTTCTTGTTTTATAATCTTTGGGTTTCTAAGCTTTTCTTTTTCACATATTGTTGACATACTTCGATCGAACCCTGCAGATTTCGAGAATCAAACCATCTCTAACTTACATTGCGGCAGAGGAAGTGATGAGTCTCGTAACAGCTCAAGGTCCTGAAGTTATATAAGCGATATTCGTATTGTTTCGATGTTTGATCTTATAAAAAAAATATCTGTATGTGTTGCATAACAGTGGCCAAGCACAGTGATCTGAATGAGATCTGGAAAGACGTTCTGAATGCTGAAGGTGATGAAATATATATGAAGGTAAAGGCAACTTACCATTAAAGTAATCCGCTACAACGTTACTTGTTATTGAAGTAATCCTCCAAATCCATGTTTCTTGACAGGATATTGGTCTTTACATGAAAGAAGGAGAGAACCCGTCATTCTCCGAGCTAACCGAAAGGGCATGCTGGCGTCAAGAAGTCGCAATAGGATACGTGAAGGACAATCATAAGGTACATAAAGCTCTTGCTCGATCGTAAACATGTTTTACTTTGATGCGTAATCAGGTCTTCGTTGCACCACAGGTTATTAACCCAACTCCAAAGACAGAGCCTCTCTCCCTATCAATGACGGACTTGCTAATCGTCATCTCCGAGCTCGAAGGCGAGCAACCTATTGTCGTCTAAAATGCAAGTAACTCCAGCCATTCTTGTTCCCCTTTGCACTTTTAGTTTTTTTCCCAATAAGTTTTTATGGTTCCGAAGGCTTCGCTTTATCGACTGTTTGCAAAAATCGAGCCGAAACCTTAGATTGTGGTCTGTCATAGGAAAATGTTGTAAATTTTGTAGGGAAATCAATAAATTTTTGTCCCCGTGATAACACTCCTGTTACTTTCTTCAGAAATAAATGAACAAGAAATATTCACTTGAATGAGTCCAAGAAGTAGAATTAACAGATAACATCATATAATATTGTTGATGCCAACGGCCTCGAGTAGAACATGCAAGCTTGTCTCCAAGATACAAAATCTTCCGAGTTCAGCCGGTCAGCCCTCTGCTGTTAACCGTTGAAGTTCAGTACACCGGAGATTTCCGGTTCTTCTAGCAAGGCCGGCCACCTTTCGGAAAAGACACGAGACCGAGACACTCACGGATTGTGTTAGATATTGAAGAGAGGTGCACCTTCACATCTGGTTGGGAGGGGACTCGAGACCGATGCACTCGTAGGTGTCGAGTATTTTTCAGCATAAGATGTAGTGTGGGAAAGAAACATGTATCGGAAAAGATTACAAGATGTGGACACTAATCCGTTTAAAAATTCAGGCAGCGTAATTGCTTCGAATGACCGACGGAATCCGGTAGCTCATCGACGAATAGCCACAGGAACATAACACTCTTAAGCATCTCAACCTTGGCAGCATACTCTGCAAAACTTCACCATTCAAATAGCAACATGTTGCCCAAGTTGGCATACAAGTCGGTCCAGGGACGGAGTTAAAATCGAACATTAGAAGGGACAAAAGTCTATTAAATATTTAAATCATAGTTTAAAATTGGGCAATAATTTAGAATTTGACTCATAGTTTTGGGGACTTTTGAAGCAAAACTCTATTAATTTTCAATTATATTTTTGGTAATTAAATCAGTACACTGTAACTTTAAAATCTGTCTATTTGACTATTGAATTATAAAAAAATTTCAATTGTATCACTACATTTATCAAATTAGTTTTTTTTTTCTCATTAGGTAAATGAAATTTAACATCATGACATATGGTTGTTACCTTTCTCATTCTTTTTTACACAAATTACCAACTCTTTCGGTCATTGTTACAAGTTATCGATTATCATTTACAACAAGAAATACACTCAAAATTGACCTTTAATGCTTAGTTTTTCTTTGTTGGATGTCCAATAAAATTAGTTTCGATATATGTTGTTTGTCTTCTCGAAAAAATGTTTTTCATTTTTCAGATTTTTAAATGAACACCCAAGCCCTTTAAATCCCGAAAAACTCTAATATAGTAGATTTTTTAATTTAATTTCATGAGTTTTAAAGAAATATTGAAAAAATATAAATAAAGATGTGATAGAATATGATAAAAGAATTTATCGGTATCTAGAATTATTGTAAAATATGTTAACGATGAATTTTAGATGGCAATTAAAAATTAACAAAACTTTAATTGTTGGTGAAAGAAAGAAATGAACAAAAATGAGGATTTTTTCATGTCATTACATGCTAATACCAAAATATTATATTATCTGATTGTTAATGATAAACAATAGTTTAAAAAAGTTTAATGGTAAAATTGATTTTTTTATAGTTTAGGGACCAAAACAAGAAGACTCTAAAGTTTAACGACTAACGATGTATTTTAACCTATTTTCTTGAATCTTATTTTTCTCTTCCCAGCCAGAAGAGAACGTATAGCTCAGAAGTGTTCAGATTAAAGAGGGAAAAGAAAAGAAAAAACCGATGCCGAAACCGAGATCTTAACAAAGGAAAAGAGATCGAAATCTAATAAAATAATGAAAGCTTTGAACTTTGTTCTTCAGTTTCTATTATTCCTTTTGTTGTTTTCATTACAAAAAGCACTCGCTAATGGCGTCACTCCCGTGGAAGCCAGGCAGCTCAGAGATGAGGTAAAAGCACTTGTTTTTTCTTTTAAATTTGTATTTTGAATTGAGGGTTTTCGCTCTTATTTGTAGATGTAGTGATACATCATTAGGATTCTTCGGATCGGCTTTTTAACTTTACTCTACTTGTCTTTACTGATCTTGCATTTATGCCAATTTTTACTGCGTTTGGATTGGTTTGTTGGTTGATAATTGATTGTTTAAGGCTTCTATGGCAAGTTTTGAAAACCCATTTTGGCAAAAGCATTAAATTGAATAAGAATCAGGTGTGTTATTGGTTCACATAGGAAGTTAAATGAAAGATGGAATTCGAAGTTTAACCTTTTAACCTATAAATTATCGAAAAATCTAATTGGGTGTGGATTGGTATATGTTAACAATTCGTTTGTTTTGGTGGTGCAGGTGCGTGAAATGTTCTATCATGCTTTTGATGGTTATATGGAGCATGCATTTCCACTTGATGAGTTGAGGCCTCTGTCGTGTGGAGGAGAAGATACGCTTGGTGGTTACGCATTGACACTGGTACAGTCCTAATCTTTTATTTTCCCCCTAAATTTGTGAGACTGAGGTTGTGTATTGAATTGTTTTTGTGATGTTGTTGCTGTGATGTTGAATGGAGCAGATTGATTCTTTAGATACACTGGCTTTACTTGGAGATCGAGAACGCTTTACTTCCTCTGTTGAATGGATTGGTAAAAATCTTCGGTTTGATATAGTGAGTGAAATACTTTTTGCATCAATCATTTGTGCTTATCCCATTGGGTTTGTTTTAATAAGGAAACCTTAGTATGGTTTGATATAGTGAGTGAAACACTTACTTTTCCTTTTTATATCTTGCAACTTAATGCAACATACGTGGCAGTTTGTTTACATTCTACTATGATAATAAAATATGGTTTCCAGTTTCCAAATCACTGTTCTCATCTAATCAATCAATAGATATTTCTATTGTTCATATTCCTGGGAATATAGCTATCGATCTAAACTTTGGAGTTTGCTTTTCTTCTGCAGAATAAAACAGTGTCTATTTTTGAGACCTCCATCAGGGTCCTTGGAGGTTTACTTTCTGCTCATCTTATTGCAAGTGACTATGCGACGGTAATATCGATTTTGTCCACCTCAATCTATCTTTAATAATCATATTTCATTATTGTAGAATAAATATCAAGGTCATTTAAATTTCAGGGCATGAGAATTCCTTCCTATGACAATCAATTACTCGACTTAGCTGAAGATCTGGCTAGGAGGTTATTACCTGCATTTGACACTCCTACAGGTATTGTCCCTGGATCCTTTTTCCATTAAGATGTGGTAACATGAACGTCAGATTGTAATAGATGTAGTAATTTATAATGACTATATCCAGCAATGTTGTATTGCAGGAATCCCATTTGGATCTGTTAATTTAAAGTATGGAGTTGATGAACATGAAAGCAAGGCAATGCCTCTATTATCTCTTTAGTGATAATTTCTTTAGTAATTTAATGTAATTTTAAAGGGATGAAGATGAAGGTAGTAAAGGGAATTGACTTTTTTTTAAATTCTCATATTAACCTATAGTTCAGGCCAGATACGTACGAGTGCCGTATGTGTGCAGCTTCCATGTATATTATATTTATATGTAATTTGAATTTCCAATTCTGGTCTGTTTAGATAACATCTACAGCTGGTGGTGGGACTTTGACCCTCGAATTTGGAGTGCTAAGCCGTTTGACAAATGATCCTAGTAAGTGTTGCTGCCCCTGTTTTTGAGGTTTTTGCATTCTCTTGAAGTTTGTATGACACGAAAAGTATGATAGCAAGTTTTGGATTCCTTATAGTGTTGATGACCAGCCTCAGTTTTCTGGGGAAAACAAGTTCTATTGATTAAGTGCAACGGTTAAAATTTGAAGGGAAAACTGGAAATATTAACAGACAAGAAAACTAAAGGGAAATTGGGGATTGCTTTGCTTGGAAGCTCAGTATAACAAATTGCAGGGCTGCCAGATTGACTAGGAATTGCTTAAGTCAAAACTTGTTAGTGAGACTTTGCAAACTGCTATCAGAAGATCAGTGATGAGACTTTCATTTACTGTTATCAATTGTAAGGAATGTTAATTTTTGTATTCATTAAATATGTTCATTTCTTAAAATGGATGCAGTTTTTGAGCAACTTACAAAAAATGCTGTTCGGGGCCTATGGGCTCGCCGTTCAAAGCTTAATTTAGTTGGTGCTCACATCAATGTGTTTACTGGTGAATGGACACAGAAGGTAACTTGCTGTTTTACCTTAACTGCATGGTCTAGGGCCTCATAGTTTTCTGTTTTCGTAATGGTTATGTCAATGTTCTTCAATTGTTTAGTCATTAGGTGGATGGAAAAGATTATATCTTCTGTTGCTTGTACTAAGTCATTCTTTCCCAATATGTTGAAGCCTTTTCTGTAAGGAAGATGTTGAATTTTCATTGATGTGGTCATTGTCTGTTCTTTTGAAAATTTATTGTTCTATCTTCCCGTTCTATTGTGAACCCCTTTTTTCCTTTTAGTACTTTCAAATGAACAAGAGTTAATATTTTCATAGGATAAATGTGCCTTGCAATTTGCCTTCTCGATATGCAGACATTGAACATAAAAATTCATATAACTAAGAATACACACTAAAGTAAAAACACCACTTCAGCTTTACTCATTATTCCACTGTGAAATCTTGATTCTACGTTGCTTTCATTAATCCATACTGGCCAGCTGCAATCGATTCTGTGTTGCTTTGCAGGACGCTGGAATAGGGACAAGTATTGACTCCTTCTATGAGTATCTCCTGAAGGTCTGTTGCGTGGCTCGAAATTAATGCACATTGTAATTTTGTAATCACGCTTGAGAAATTGAGAAAAATATATTTTTTCTTTCCATGATATCTTTCAGGCATATTTATTATTCGGAGATGAAGAGTATTTATTCATATTCCAAGAAGCATATAGTGCTGCTATGCACCATCTTTACAATGATCCCTGGTAAGCACTTGTGCAGTTCTGTCCCACTTTAATTAAACTTTCCTTTGTCTTATTTTATCATTCCTATTATTTCTTTCGGCATTTTCCGTGCATCATGTATTTGGACTTTATCATCTCTCTCTCGTTCACCTTTAATTTTAATTTACCTAGGTACGTAGAGGTCAATATGGATTCGGCTGCTATTGTCTGGCCACTATTTAACAGTTTGCAGGCGTTTTGGCCTGGGCTTCAGGTTATTATTTATTAATATTGTCTGATTTAACTTCATGATATGCATTTTTGTGTAACAATAAGTTATGTGATTGAATATTTGGTAATCAGAGGTTTACCATTTTTGGAAGGTTTTAGCAGGAGATATCGATCCTGCTATTCGAACACATACTGCCTTCTTCAGTGTCTGGAAACGATATGGTTTTACTCCGGAGGGTTTTAATCTTGCTACACTTAGTGTTCAGGTATCTGAAGCATACTAGTTTACTATTCTTATCGTTCTCTTTCAGCATTTCAAATTAGAAGTTTTTCTAATTTCACACGAACCTAAATAACACCAGATATGCCATGTTACTAAAGGACAATGTTTTACGAATTTGGTGCATTTCCCAAGTTAAGAAAAAGCTTGTATTGGACTTATCTGTCGGTCTATCTAAATTATACCGTGTTTCTTTGGCAGCATGGGCAAAAGAGTTATCCTTTGCGTCCGGAGTTAATAGAAAGCACATATTGGCTCTACAAAGCTACCAGAGATGCCAGGTCAATCTGATTGAATTTTTTTAAGCACCTATTCTAACTTCTTTTCACATAGTTATTTGGAGGTGGTGATATTGCAACATCTTCACTTATCACTATCATTCTTTAACTGGAATAATTCTAAATGATTATATTTGTTTACCAAAGAAATCTCATTTATCCAGTCAGTTGAGATATTGTTTGTTTCTGAGAGTTTCAGGATTAGAAAAATGCTAGTATAGCTTCCTTTCTCTCCTATTTCTCGAAGCAATTCATGTCGGTATTAAGTATTGAAGAAAGAACCATATCTAAAGATGAATAAAGCTGATGCCTATAATCATAATTAAGATATTACACAAAAACAATGCGAGAAAAATAAAACAGACGTGCTACACAAGGTATTTTACTAATGAACAATCATTGCTGACAAGAGTGCAAAGCTATCCCTGCTGCTTTTAGATGTTTTCCGCTTACCTGTTCTGTTCTTCTTAACATATGGGCAATTTCCCCATTCCTTCGTACTAAAAAAGCTAAAAACATTTTCTGTTTTAGATATCTGGATGTTGGACGAGACATAGTTGCTAGCTTGCAATACGGGGCTAGGTGCCCATGTGGTTATTGTCATATATCAGATGTCGAGAATCACAAGAGGGAGGATCACATGGAAAGCTTTTTCCTGGCAGAAACGGTAAGTGACAATTTGCGTGTATATATGTATTCCCCATTTCCCTAAATACAAATTTAGAATTAAAATTCTCATCTCATTTTCGTCAGCTGCCCCTCCTTGGATGCCTTTTGGTATACTCATCTCATTTTCTCTTCCATTCTGATACATTCTTGTTTGTAACCTCCGAACATGCTCAGGTGAAATATCTATGGCTACTTTTTGATTTGGCTGTGGGTCCCGACAACCTTGTTGAAAATGGACCGTACAAGTAAGATTTATGTTTCCTAGGGTCCTTTAATAAAAAAAACATTTATATACATGAAACAAGCTACATTTTCTTCTCAGTTTGTTCTTTTTAATGGAAAATTCCATTTACAGGTACATATTTAGCACCGAGGGCCATTTGTTCCCTGCAACTCCTCAAATATCCCTATTACAAGAGCATTGTTCATATTTTGGGGCTTATTGTAGCCATGGCAACTTAAAAGAAGATCCCTGTGCATCAGACAAGTCTGCTGATTCTCAAGAAACCAATGGTAATAGAGTTTCTGAGGGTAGGGTTCGCACGGAATTTCCTTTGGACTCTTCTTCTTTCGAGTCATCTCCTGTATCAGGTCTGATTAAGGTTAGTGGTGATATATTTTCTGAATCAAATCTATGTATACCATAATGAGTTTTGTTCCCTCTACTTTGGTTTTTGTTTTCCCACTGGATTGATGGACATCTTAGGTGAATTGTTACTAAAAGATTGATTAATGTTTATTCTCTCATTGCCAAGACAAGTATATCTATTTTAGCTGTGTTCGATACAAATTTAGTTATTTCCATTTATAATGTGATCACTTTTATCATTATGTATTTCGTCTTATGGCTAGATTGCAGAATAAACAAGGAGTGGAAATAGAAGTTCGAGACCTTTTATTTAAAATAACTATTTCATTTCTGGGGTGAATTCATTTTTTCTGTGTTCTTAGAAATTTTCTTTTCTTTTTCCTCGTAGGGCCTTTGTACGGGACTGACTCACGCGCAGAAGTATGGCATTTCGTATCCAGCTTCAGTTGATGCGCCTAGTGAAGATGATTCTGCTAAACAAAATGACAATGTGGCTCAGGGCCATGCTGTAGTTGTCTTTTCTGACCAGATTGCTAATCAATCACTATCCGGGGACAGCAACGATGACAATGTTAAGGAATCATCTGAAATGGAATCCGAGAGGGAACCGGAGAGGGATCCATCTCAATCATGAAAAGGCTTCTCGGGTGTGTATAACTAACCGGAGGTAGTTTGTGCCCCAAACCGCATATAACGGAGCCGGATCTCAGCTCTTTCCTCTGTGCTATTTTCCTTGAAAGACTATTATATGACTGATGAAACATTGGCTGCTGAGACATCATTTTATCTACACATTTTTATACTCAACAGACTTGTACAATCCGGCAACAACTGTCGATACAATGAGTACATTTTTTTAGGCTACAGTTGTGAACTGCAAGACAGAGTAGGCTGTAAGGTATCTGTGCTGTTATGCTGGTCGTTGTATCGTCGAGAACCCCCACCCCAGGCGGGAAATTAGGCACTTGTTTACTTACAGGGAAATATTTTTTTTTTTGGTGAACAAAGGAAAAACTTTGCAAAGATTTAACAGAACTTGTGTACGTTTTGTGTTAAGACTAAGGTTGATTACGGTGGCTGCGCCATTATCATCCTGGATCGGCTGCTCGAGTGGGACAACCAGTTTCGTTTGGGTTTCCGATGATTCGGGGACTGTCGTAAAGGTTTGGAAACCATTGCCATGTTACACCATTTGATTTAAGTTGTACTTGAAGATTTATGGATTCATGATATTTGGTTACCTTTTATTTCATATTTGATCTTAACTACGGTCGAAAACAATTTTAGTACAGAATTTGTATTCAAACATGATCCGACACCTAAATAAACTTAGGATATCTTCTGTCAAATCCCTTTATCTTGTCAGATTATGTTCCTTAACACCTTTTAGATTTTTGTTTACTATTAACAATGGAGAATAATGCGTGTGTATGTATATATATATATAACGATTAGTTTCATAGGTCAAAATGTCTCACGAATCAATCGTTTTCCGGTTATCTTTTTAATACATCTTAAAACTTCCGGTATCTTTTTAATACATCTTAAAACGTCTTAATTTTTTTTAGAATTTTAAAAATATATAAGTCTTGAGTAATCCAATCTTCTGTTATTCCGTCATAACCAAAACAAAAATGCTTTGTTTCTCCTGTTAATGCTTGAATATCACACAAATCAGCTGTAAAATTAAAGCATAATAATCCATAAACTGTAGATTTGTCAACCTTTTGCAAATCTCCTGAATCTGATGGGGATCTCTCTCCTTTTGTTATGCATGGTTAACCCAGAATAGGAATTTATGAACACGTATACAGAACCAAACTCAAATAATCCCTAGATGAACTTGAACATGCACTATAAAACAGATATAAAAAGAAACTCGGATACCCCATGCATCCTTTTGCTCTTATGGTTTAATGGTTATATAAACATTACATATGATGAAACCACCAAATATGCATACACATGTTTGCTTTTCCTTGTAATTTCCCCCCCCTAGCAGCCGGTTGAATTTTTCTGAATTCTGAGCAACCGAGAGAATCTGATCCAAACAATCCCCTTGGACAACCCAAGCTCAAACTACTTTTTCTCTCAAGAGATAGATGTGTTGTTGATATATAATAAGACTGAATCTTCTCATACACCACAACCTAATCACCTAGCTTCTGATCCTTTCATAATCCTCAGTCTCTTGCATGATGTGATGAACATTCTGTGAACCAAAAAAAAGACAACCTAGTAAGTTTCACAATCATGTGTATGTATGTATGTATGTATTTATGTATAGGCATATATGTATGTATGTACTTACTTCCAAGGAACATCACCGAGAAGCATCCAATCTCCATCTTTGTCTTCATACGTTGGTGCGTAATCAGATCCTTTGTAGCCTTCTCTTTCAGAGTATTCACCTGAGGAAGATGAAATAATCTCAAGTCATTTTCGTTTTCACCTCCAAAGAAATGATGATAAAATTCATCACAGATTCAAAATCCTTACCTACGGTGAACCTGAACATGTTCTCCAAAGCCTGCAACAGCTGGGGATACCCCTTGTAAACCCTCAGGTCAATCTTTCTCAGATACGGAGCTCCATCCATGCTCACTTTCACATAAATCCCGGGCTCCGACTCGGTTCTCTTTGCCTGAGAGTTGTTCTTCCTATAGGCCTGGACCGGCGGCCACCCCACGATTTGTGCTCTACAAAGTTTCCAACAAAACTCATCCATTAGTTTCTTTTAATCTGACTCCACAGGGGAAAAATCTTTGTTTCTGAATACTTACTTGGAGGGAGATTTGCCATTAGCTCCGCATTTCTCATCAGTATTATGATCCTCCTGCAATGGTCGTTTGTTGGTTCTAACACCGGAAAGTGCTGCTGTTTCTTCTTCTTCATAATCTGTGGTTCCAGGCAACCCTAATCTAAGTTCAGTTGCCTTCAAGTTGAGATCATTCTCATATGCTGCACTGCTGCTTTCCATTTTCCTTTCTTCTTCTTCTTCTTCTTCTTCTTCTTCTTCTTGCCGTTTTGCTTACGTATGGTGTTTAGGTGGTGGGAATGGGTAATTTTATAGGGTATAATGAAGAGGGGAAAGCCTCGTTATTCTCTCAATGCATGAATTATGGACAAAGGCAAGCTATGGTGTCGGTAGCAATGGCAGCAACTTTGAGGCAACCTGCCTTGTTATTAGGGGGACAATGGTGGGGACATGCTCAGCAAGCCCAAGTTAGATAATACTATACTAAGGAATTCTTTTGGAATTGGTCGTGATAAAGTCGGATTTTAAAAAAATAATTAAAATTAAAAATGTAATTTTATAATTATATTAATATATAATTTTATACTTTTTTATCAAGTTGAGTTATTGATCAATTTGAATTCGATTTGATTATTTTTATCTCTTCACTTTTTACTTGATTCAATTCGGGTAGTGAAGCTTAACCTGGCTTAAATTTTAATTCAATTTTTGAGGTAAAAAATTGACTTAATTCGATCTGATTCAATTTTTGAGGTGAAATTTTAATTCGATAGAACTCGATAAATATATACAATTCTTATTTTTATTAGTTGAAATAATAATCTAATTAAAATACCTAGAGAGAGGGATATTCTTACAATTATTTCTAAATATAAGATAGTTATAATATTATCTTAGGTCAAAAAAATTTAACTCTAAACTCGAACATGACCCAACATGAATTCAATTTTTTTTAAAATTAATGTTATAAGAGTAGGTCAAATCAAAGCCTATCAAATTCAGGTCACATACTCGCTTCTAATTGTAGATGATCTATTATGAGAGAAGTTAAAAAAAATCTATAAATTAGAATTGAGAAATAATTCTTGAGGCCCTAAATAAAAAATTTACCATTGGATTACCGTATAACTTTATAAACATATCTAGGAGTACTTAATGAGTTAAGCAGTTCAAACTCGACTTGATCAAAACTTGGTAAAAGCTTAATGATTAATCTATATTATTTTTTAATAAAGCTAAGGTGATATGTTCTAAATACTCTCAGTCATTTGACAAGAAATACTCAATCACCATGTTGCAACTGTCGGTGCTCGAACCCGTGACCTCTAAGAACAACAATGATTCTTTTAACCAATGAGATAAATTGGTTAATACAATGATTAATCTATTAATTTTCTAATAAAAATAAAAAAAAACTAAATTATAAATTAAGAAGTATTATTTTACTACACCAAAAAATAAACCTTAATTGTCATTTTAATGTATTTGTGGATTATAATTTTTGGAGTTTAGGCTTTCAATTTGTTTCATACACTCTTTTGATAAAAAAAATTTTGGTTAAATTTATTAATTTATGTTTATATTAAGCTCTATATATTTTTAGTAGATTTTACCTATAGTTGAAAAAAATAAGATAAAAAATTCGGTGAGCTTAAGAAGCAACGAGGTGAGCAGCGAACTTAACGAGCATGAGTTGAGCAACAAGTTTTTTAATAAGCACTAGTCGAGTAACAAGTTTTCACTGTCCAACTCGCTATTAACTCGATTGATAAGCATTCCATGACATATTTAAGTAATAATTAATGTATTAAAAAATAATATACTTAATCTCAACTCTAACTTTATTACCTTAAAGAAACTTAATAGTAGATTTTTCATTTTTTGAGAGACTAAGGCCTCTACCTATCTCTACCATAGTCTCTAATTTTTTTTTGATAACGTAGGACCTCCTAAGGTCAAGCTAAAGAACCCGACCCTACAAGACAACCTCCGGAGGGGCTCAAAGAACCCACCACTTTATCCCCGCTTTTTTTCAGGATTCTCAACCAGCGCGATTCGAACCTAAGACATGAGACAAGCTCATAATCCCAAGAGTCATTGCTTTGCCAACTGAACCACGCCTGCGGTGGTCATAGTCTCTAATTTTACCTTCACATGACTTTCGATTTCAAGTTTTATAAATGAAAACAATAAGATATTAAAAAAATCTTTATTCAAAATCCGATCCAATTAAAATTTAAAATAATTTAAATCAATGTGTCTACCATATATGGAGCTTAGATTAAAATATTGAAGGACAACATCCCCATGTGATAAAAGGGTCCATCTTGGGGCAGTGCAATACCATGTGGGGCTCAAAGGGCTTCATTTTCATGGTGGACAGTGTCAGCTCTTGAATTATTCCTAATCCCAGTTAAAATTCAAACAACAAAAATTAATTAATTAAAGCTTAAGGTTGACAGTGTTAATTAATATTTATTACATTCTAACTTGGGAATATAAGTTCATTTAATCTTGCCTGTTTGCTGTTAATTATTAGAAAATGAATGTGAAGCATATATTATTATTTAAAAATAAGGATTTTGATGATAATATAAGGTTGAATATTTTCATATGGACGGTCAATTGAGGAAGAGATGGGGGCATAAAAATTATTGAGGAGGCTCCATTTCAGCCTCGTAATCATTAATATTCTCGTTATGAATTAGTCATACATACAGCATCTTTGATACATTATTAGTGGAATAGTTTTTTGAATTAATAATTTATATTTGATTTATTGATCGATTAATTCATATTGAATGTTGCAGATGGTTTTTACGAGGGTGATTCTTTCAACCTATTTCACTCCATTTATAACGTTAATATTCAAACTCTTAACCTTGTTTGAATGATCTAATGTCAAGTCCTGTCAATGAATTATTTTATGTAATGCTTAAATATTATCACATGTCATGAATCCTAAAATCTTAAACGAATTCGACTCTTTGAAAAAATAGATTTATCTTATTCGTATCTAATTTAAACTGAATAAATAACTCAGTTCTTTAACGTCTATCTCCAGGTATTTCATGCATGTCAAAAGTGGATCCTTAATTTGTTGAATATCCATCGATAATTCCTTTATTTTTCTTCGAGTATTCATTAATCTATTAGACGGAGCTATGTAGGGGTTTGGGGACCACTGTCCCCCCTAATTTTTTATCATTAAAAAATTATAAAGACAAATATCTATTTAAACCTTTAAATTTTGGTTTATTTTGATTTTGTCCTCTCATTTTCTATTGTTAATTATACTTTGCATTTTTTGAACTAGAATCCTGGCTCAGTCCATGTATTCCGTAACGACTTGAGCATCTAAACATGTTCCGAGAACCAAACCTAACGAGGGTTTCTCTTACCAAAGTTTTAGCACACATTAATGTTCGAGCACGATAGCTGTCTTTGCATGCATGCATGGGATATTCATTCACACACGGTTATGGCACCATTATTGCTCCAGCAATGCAAACGACAGCAGTTGCGACGAAATATCTTGCAGTACCAAAACTTGTGGTATTCCTCGAAACTCAAAGCCTGTGTCTTTTGTGGTGCCTGATGAGTGTGACCTTAAATTCGATCGCGATGTTTAACAAACTCGAAATCTGAATTTTTCGGATTCTATTTTCGCAGAATTTGATCCTCTAAGATCTTCCCCAGGTTGGATTGGATAATGCATTTGAAATACGACTCATCAGCAGTTGGAGTCCGCAAAGCTTTTGACTACGACTTATCTCTAAATAAGACGCATGATAATATTAAAATTTCGTTTATGAAAAAAATAAATTCCACGTCAATATGTGTAATAATAGATATTTCATGTAAAAAAAGGGGCACGGTAACTTAGAAATAAAAATGTGCTGGCATTAGGGCACTAGTCTGGTTTTCAAGCTGTAGAAATGGCCCTAAAACAAGGCCAAAGTGCCAAAATAGAACCCTGTAGAAGGAACCCCCACACCCCCTAAAATAAAGGGCAGTGACCTAGACAAAATTTTAGGGCACCTTTCCTTTGCATTAAATGGGTGGGGATTCATTCAACATGATTAGTGTCTATTTTGTGCTATATTTTATGCTTAAATGCTTCTTGTTTATTTATCTTTATTACTGATTTTGGTGTTTTTACATTATTTATATGCAGGGCAATAACTTATGGAAAATATACTTAAAATGCTTGAAAATTACACTTTTTATTTTGGAATCAAGGTTGGACTAGTGAGAATGAATTTAGGCATGAAATGCTGACGTGACAATGAGTCAGCAGGTTTTAGAAAGTTCAATCATTAGCGTTCAGTCAGCAATTCTAGAAGGTGGATGGACGACTGGAGCATTTCAAGCATTTTAAATTCAAGTTTAGGAATTATCTTCTATGATTTAAGTTTAGAGAAAATAACCTCAGTGACCAAAAATCCCAGATAATATACGATTTTGACCAACTTTTTTTGGATTTGCGAAAATGACCAACAAAATCGCAATGCGATCTTTAATTCGCATTGCGATCTCCACTATCGCAATTTCGCGTTGCATTTCGCGTTGCGATAGTCTACAATGTCGTTGCGATTTTCCAAATTCGTTGCGATAGTCTACAGTTGTCGTTGCGATTTTCCAAATTCGTTGCGATAGTCTACAGTTGTTGTTGCGATAGTCTACAGTTGTTGTTGCGAAAGTCTACAGTTGTCGTTGAGATTTTCTAAATTCGTTGCGATAGTTAAAAAAAAAGATTTTGTTTCTTAAGAATTTTCTCTAAAAAGATAGTATCCGCGCGGACGTGTCGAAGACATGTATTACCACGACCACGACCCGAGATGAGACGGACGGCGGCGGCGCGCGAGAGTCCCCCTTGTTCTCTATCACTCAACAAGAAAGTGGGAAAACCAAGCCTTAAATATCATTCCCAATAGTGTTTCCAATACTATGTGAGATTTGAGCATTACCAACACTTGTTCCCAATACTATGTGGGATTGAGCCTTAAATAGTGATATTATTTTTGAATGTTTTGCTTAAAATTGCAATAATCGCGATTGATTGTAGATTGACATTTAATTATGACATATTTAATCGTATAATACTAATGCAATTGGTTGCTGATTTAGTTGTTTTAAGGTGCATGATTGTTAATTGTTTCCTGAATAATCACATTGTATTGGAAACAAGTGTTGGTAATGCTCAATCCCACATAGTATTGGAAACACTATTGGGAATGGTATTTAAGGCTTGGCTTTCCCACTTCCTTGTTGAGTGATAGAGAACAAGGGGGACTCTCGCGCGCCGCCGCCGCTGCCG